TCTTCTAATTTAATCAGACATGTTTCTAACATACAGTTTCAAGTTACTGAAAATATACTGCCAGCATAAAATTTCATCTGATAGATGTTATTTTTTAAAATCAATTAAACAATGAAAAATCTGTTGACATAGTGGTCTGACATATACAGTACAATCATGGCTCAGATCAGCTTTTGCCCATCTGCAGGAAAAGTATTCCTCATCTGCTAAAGGATTTTGCTAAAAGAATAGAATGCGGTGTAGGGTTCTGATGGCCGCACACTAAGGCTCACAAGGAAAACAAATGGGGATGTGCACACACCTAACAGGAATTTCCTCAGACAAACACAAAGCTCAAAGAATGGATTCTTATCAGCAACCACCAGCAGATGCAGGAAACTCTTTGTGGGAAGTTCTGGGCACCGGCTCTGAAACCAAGTCAACTCCAACATGAGGGGCAAATCAGTTAGAAGTTTCACATACTTTTTACTTTGACTATGCAAAATATTAATAGATTTCCGTCACTTGTGTAAAGAAAACTAATTATATGGTAAATCACTCATTATATTTTCAAAGAAAAATATTCCCAAATAATGAGTCCACATAAAATCATCTATTAGCCTTTACTGATTATATAGTCAAGAAAAAGAAATATAAATATTGTAGTACTTTCAAACTATATAAAAATTTTTAAGTTATAATTACTTAAACACAAAAGCTTCTTCACTTTTATTTCTATTATTCTAAAATCTGAACTTAACCAACTATCAAAACTTGGGTGAGAAGCCTACAATAAAAATTAAAGCCGGGTGTGTGGCACAAGCCTGTAATCCCAGCACTCAAGAGACTGAGGGAAGAGGATCACCGTGAGTTAGAGGCCAGCCTGGGCTACACAGAGTTCAAAACTAGCCTTAATTATATAGTGAGACCCTGTCTCAAAAAAAAAAGAAAGAAAGAAAAAAAATTAAAGCAAGAGGGAAGATGCACATACTCATTGTATTATTTTATCTGCTAGTTTACAGAAACTTTTACTGTTCTACTACACCCATGACCAAATTTCCACTCCCAAATTTGAGAAAGATGGTATCCACAGCCAGCTTCATGTGTTGAGTTACAGAATTACTTTGTGACTGACTTTCAGTCATTACTCTGGTCATTAGCTTCAGTGACTATTCGTATATTCTTGAATTTCCACTTCCAATACTCTCAGTTCTGTACCTCTGTATATTCCTTTCCCTCTACCTGCACTTGTTTTATCCCTGCTGGTGACTGCTAGCACCTGTTCATCTTTCAGGCCTTGAATTTTATGCATTTAATTTTTATTTATTTATTTATTTTTTTGAGACTGGATCTTGCGATGTAATACAGACTGCCTTGAATTAACTATGTAGCCCAAGCTGGCTGGGCCTTGAATTCTATGTTCCTGCTATTTGTAACTCTTCCTTGACTCCCGTGGAATTGGGGTCTGTGTCATGTGTTCTTGATGTAGCCTGGTTTTCGCTTTACAAGGTGTTTCTCCCACTGCAGTCAGTGCCTGTTTGCCTGCCTGCACCTGGACCATGACCACGGTATCCACAACATCTACATGGGGGTCAGCAGAGTAGAGACAAGGCCCGCCTGCTAAATAAATCAGTGATCTACACGATACAGACCAATGCTGTGTAGAAGCCTGAGAGAAGCAAAACTCCATGAGAATTAAGCCTGAACTGCACTATCTTATATCATAAATTAAGCAAAATTTTATTTTGAACATAACACCAAGTTAATATGACAATGCTTAAAAAAAAATACAAATAATGCACTGTTTGATGCCACCTTCCTAAGGAAGTGTCAACACCCTGAGGCTGACACTGGGTGCTGCTGAGAGAGGACGGTGTCAGTACTTCCTGGGGGATGAGGAGAGTGATGCTGACACAGTGGACTACGCACCTGCCTGCAGAGCAGGAGGGCTCGGTGCCCATCGCTCTGGTGCCAAATCTAATCACTCGCTCTGACAACTTCTTCTCCAGAGAATAAGAACCCTTCAAATGCTACAATGTCAGGACTGTCTGGAAACAGAGAATCCTGAAAAGATGGGACCCATGACGGCACAGTTTTTGAATCTCTCCGAATCCCAGCATAAAAGCAGACCGGACAACTGGTTTTGAGAGAGGTTTCAAAACCTAAAGCCTGTAAGTAACCCATACTACCAAACTAAACATCATGTTACTGGCAAAACGCCCAGGACTCGAGCAGAGCAAACAAGAGTGACAAGACTGTTCGATACCAGTATCTACGTAGCAAAAAAAGAGGGAAGCAAAAGTGCTACTGACAGATCTCTGCATAAGAGAACCCCAAAAGAGCCAAGAGGTACCCGCTAGAAAACAAGCCAGGCCAATGGGAGGACGGTACCTAAAATGGAGAGGGTCTTACCCATTTCAATAGTGGGTAGGTGCCAGGTGTCCCCAATAGGGTCTAAAGGAATGAAGGAGAGCCGGGCGTGGTGTGCATACCTGTAACCCCAGCACTTGGGAGGCTGAGGCAGGGGGATTGTTCCAAGTTTGAGACTAGCCTGGGCAACAAAATGAGCTCAAGGCCAGCCTGAACTGCATAGCGAGACCCTGTCTCAAAAAGACAAAAAAAAAAAAGGAATGAAGGAGTCTATGAACTATTGAAACTGACCTGCCAGGCACCCCTTCCTGGACAGAAGTGGGGAGAAGGCACTGAGAAAAGCATCAGAAGTGAATGAGGGAGGAATAAGGTCCAGTTAAAACAGAGGAATTAGGTCCAGTTAAAAACAAGGCATATGAACAGGGCAAAGCATCACCAAAAGCAAACCACTGGTATCTGTGAGACTACAGGAAACCAGCCAAGGAGCGGGCAGGCTGCGTGCAGGAAGACAGCAACCACGAAGGAGGCCTTTCTCTCGAAGTTCCGGGAAGCTGACTTCACATGAAAAGGAGCCACAGCAAAGGATCAAGGTCAAATCCTACATGAAGTTATTATAAGAGAAAAGAAAACACGGAGCAGAATCATGCTGTGCACACAGTAAGAGCACGCCAAAAGACACACTTATGGATCAGACCACAGTGCACCCTTTCACTTCAAAATAAGCTTAAAAATGCTAGTATAATGACACAAGTTATCAGAGGACAATATCGTGCACAAGTGAAGTGTGAGATTAAAAATGTTTCAAATTATCTTGCAACTAAAACCTACACATATTATACAAGAGTGAATAAACACAATAGGTAATAAGAGAAAGATAAGAAAGTAGAAAGTTTTCTAAATAAAAAAGAAAGGGATTAAAGGCATTTGAAAGAAAATTATGAACAATGAAGACTATCACAGAGAGACTGTAGTCTCAAAAGGAAAAATTCAAAGCAATTCTTGACAATTACACCAAAAAAACCTTCTTAAAAATTTCTCAAATTATATCCTGAAAAAAACACTGCATATCTGAGAATAACAGTCCAGGACGACTACCACAAACTCACAGGTTGGTAAGTTACTGGGCTTTCACAGGAAAGCAGCAAGCGGCTTAACGAGGAAAACCTTAAGGCTGCCATCGCTTCAGGGCAACGCTTCGTGCCGGGCAGAGTAAAGGTAACACAGGGAAACGTAGTATGAACCATGGACACTAAATCCAGCAAAATGTTCATGCACAAGGAACACAAGCCTGCCAGATACAAGGGATACCAGTCCCATAAGCACTTCCTGAAACAGTTCCGAGCGGATGGGTTGAAGGAGGGCCAGCAGGGAAGGCGTGCACGGAGGGCTGAATGTTGAGATGGTGTAGGTGCTGTACATCTATGTTTAATGTGGGAAGAATGCGGAGAACAGACACAAAAATTTTCCTTATCGCTATGCTAGAAACTGTTCGGCAGTGCTGTCCTGAATTTGAACTGAAAGGATCGGGACAGTCTCATGGCATTTTGTAACAACAAAATCCTACCTCTGCCAACTGCAAAGCCCTAAAACCAAAGATCAACCCAATAGCTACGGGTCTGGATTGGGGCTTTGAAATATTTTTTCCCACTAAAAAAGGAGCTTCTTAGTTTAATGTTGAAGTCCAGCTCTGAGGCAGGAAATGTACTAATGGGTCCTTGAACTTCTGTCACACCAAATCATAAGAAAGCTACAGAAGTCCACCAGGTCATGTCAAAAGAACTCAGAAGCCAACCTGAAAGGGCTGCACTGGTCAAACGTAGGACTGTCAAAGCTTCAAATAGAACAAAACTTGCAACTGACTGGAACCATCGACACATTAAAACCCATGATAATATGTCTCTTACAAAACCCTCATTAGTTTAGTCAACTTTGGAAGATGATAAGGAACACATTTATTATCCTGATCATAACAAAAAAAGCAGTTATTCTGACTTTCCCCTATAAATGGTTTCAGGGGAAACCAAATAGTACACGGAGCTCTTTAAAAAGCATTCCAACTAATACAGAAAAGTGTACAAAATATCACCATTTGCAAAGACCAATGCACTAACAGATCTTGAACATTAACCGCTACTAAGTAACAAAAGAGACACAATACGCCTTAAATGAAAGAACGCCTCAACTCCTGCCAAAGGGATGGAATGTGTGCGATCAACCCTCCAAATCTAGCTGCCAATTCAAGAAAATAAACCATGCTGAAAAAATATACAACTTTACCATAAATATGCAATCAGCAAAACCTGTACCATGAGTATTTAACAGGTCAAACGTCCTTGGTTCCTCAGCAGTAATCTGTATTTTTGAATCAGTAATCCTGAATAGGCATTCAAAAACTATCGACTTTAGGGGAAGGAACAGGGCGAGCTAATTATGGACTGAAACCTCCACAACCGTTAGCTAAAAAAACCCTCTTCTCTTAAAAAGTGGATTACCCAAGTATTTCGTTTCAGTAACAGAAAGCTAACACAATATGCTAAGGTTTATTAGACACTTAAGAGAACTTAATCAAGGGCTGGGGGTTTAGCTCAGTGGCACAGCGCTTGCCTGGCAAGCGTGACGTTGTGAGTTCGACTCCCGGTACTGGAAAAAAATCAAAAAAAAAAGAGAACTTAATCATATTGGCTTTCCTAACTAGAGTTCTTTCCCCTTCCCTCAAGCTCCCTCATTTACGATGAAGTTTCAGAAACACTGTAATTTACATGCTCAGGGTTGTCTGAGTAGAAATGATGGGCTGGTGGGGCTCTTCTTAATGTCTGTATCTGGTCCCCAAGTAATCATCGGTATAAAACTGAGTGAATGGTAGCTAGACAGGGACAGTGGCTATCTAATTGCATTCTTCTCTCAACTAAGTTAACCAAACTTCTGAAATAAATATACACAGGACCTCGATCTCATTAGGAATATCTTCCAATCAATTACATCTTTAAAATTTACATACAACAGTCTACATTTTCCAACAGAAAACAAACGTGTGTTTCTTTTTAGAAAAAGCTCTTAAAACATGTTTTGGTTAAATTATGCTAGCCTGACACACTTCTGTTAAAAGGCAACAGGAAACTGCGGCGCTTCAAGCAAACCAAGTATGTTCCAAGCTACAGAATGGAACGTCACAAGCCATGTCCGAAAGGATAAACACAAATTGCTGAAAAAGACGGCTACCAAAATTTAAGTTACCTCAGAAATGTTTTTGTCAGTTTCTTTTCTTTTTTCTTCCAGTTTCCTTTCAATGCCTACAATTCCAACAGCCCTTACTCTTCCTGGCTGGGGAAAAAAAAAGTACACCATCGAACACAAATTGGGAAGGAAACAAAGTATTTTTTGAGCTACTCTGTGTTTTCAATGGCGGGAAAGGGCCCATAAAGAACCAAAGAAAAACAGCACATGATTACATCTCGTTTCCTTTCAAAATATTTGTCCGTTTCTGGAGGCACATAATGATCTTTAAATCATTACAGAAAATCCAAGTATTTAGATGCATGTTACATGTACATTAAATTATACTTATTTTTATTCTTTGACAAGTCATCATGTATCTGATTATAATAGGGTGTCAAATATACACAAAAAATCTGTACTAAAATTTTTGTACGTAATGGTGATTTTCCCCATTACTTTCACACATTTCAGTGCCTGTCCATAGCCAGTGATTTATACTAAGTGCTATGAAAATTAATTTTTTACCAGAACACCACTATTTTGGTTTTGCTGACTTCTATCATCAGTCTTTTTCTTACTGAAGATCTAAGTACAGGGCTAAAAATACTGGATTAGCAAATAGTTTTAAAAATTACCTGGGATCCTCTACTTGTTTGTAACGACTGGGAAGCTGGCATATTCTCCCATCTTCTCTGGGTCATTTCCTCTAACAGACGTCTATAAAACTGTTGTGCACATACATTAACCGCAAGTGAGTCAGGCAGGCTGTGGCATCCTCGAACAAATTATTACTTAACTTTTTTTAGTATAAAAGTTCATTCAGTCATTTGCAACAAGCCTAGAATTCTGAGACATCAAAGGCAAGCAAAGGAAGTTCTTTTCTTGGACCAACTTCAGAAGCACAAAGAAAGCAAAAGGGTGGGGGAAGGCTGATTGACTTTCTACACAAAGTGGACCATTCTCAACAAAGAGATGAGCGACAGTGAAATAAATAGACTGACTTTAAACAATTCTGCATAGGTGGATTGTTTCCAAGCTATAGTGAAACAAACAGTGCCAGAGAAAATATACAACCAATTTCCATGAAGAAAACAGAATAATTTGTCTAGCTAAAGTGTGAAGCCAAAACTTAAGGACAAAACATGCATATGCTCACTAAAAAAAAAAAAAAAATCAAAAACACTTTTCAACTTGTGAGAATGACTTTGGTCTGTCACATATATGGATTTACGTAGTGACTACGGTGTGAGGAGCATGGTTCATGCACCGTTGAAAACAAAACACAAATAATTTATGATGTTAACGAGAAGAGAAACACACACGCACATGTCTTAAGAATACTTGTATAGTGACTTAGTGATCAGAACAAACACAGAAACGACTGCAACTGCAGCATAAGCACTCAGTGATCAGACTTTTTAATCAAAATAGACTGCCCAATTTAAGGCTAGCACGCTTTCAAGTACTAATTCAGTTTAGTACTTTCCCACATTATACTCTGTTTTTTTAACCAAATTACAGTACTGAAAACTTTGACTAGTAGCCAAGAGGCAAGACTTGGCGCATTGCCAGCCGCTACTCCCTCCTGTGACCGCACTTGCCTGCTTCCCATTCCTACTGTATAGGATATGAAAAGATTTCATTGGGTAAGAGCTGGTACACTGTGTAACACTGCCTTCCATCATAAAACACACACACACACACACACACACACACACACACACTCTTCTCTCCAACTTTACTCATATGGAAACTTACCTCTAGGCTGGGCGTGGTGGCACATGCCTGTAATTCCAGCACTCAGGAAGCTGAGGCAGGAGGATCATTGTGAGTTCGAGACCAGCCTAGGCTACAAAGTAAGCTCAAGGCCAGCTGGAACTACATAGCCAGACCCTGTCTCATAAAGACAAAAAAAGAAAAAAAAGAAACGTACCTCTATCTGGCCATGTTCTTTGAAGGAGAGTTTGATATAAGAGTTCTTACTATTCTGGAATGGGCCAGGTTCTTTGTTAGGAGGAGCCGGGTGCAGATGAACCACTATTTTGGCACTAAAACAAAAAAGAGTATAGTAATATAAATAATTGCTTTTTAAAAAAAATCACTAATTCTATTTTAATTTCTTTTTTATTTTAATTACTTTTAATACATTTCAAATCATTCTTAAAGTCATGCAGAAGCAGAATATCTTAAAAGGGCATCCTTTTAAGGATGTGTTGTATTAAATTCATTACCAATGAAACTTTCAAAAATATCTCTACTTAAAACTTACACGTTTTGAACCAAAAAGCTTCACATTAATAGCTTCTCTAGTAAATAAGTGTGTAGTTTTAGAAACTAAGGCCAAAATAAATTTGCAAAACTTTGAGTAGGTTATAACCAGAGTTTTCCAGTACAGAGTCCGCCCTAAAGGTTATAAGGGGGGGCCTACCATTTCTGCCAAAGCATACTATGGGTCTCATTGAAAACAAAATGTGAGAACTTATCTGTAAAACTGGCCAGCTGATATTCTATTAAAACTCCATCCAAAACTAACATTCTACAGTATCATTTGTTGGAAAATGCCACTTAATCAACAGTATGATCTAGAAAGAGACCCAAAAGAAAAAACAACCCTCAGAATGCCACTGCCCTAGAAATACAAGCTGCCATTATCTTTATGACTACGGTTATCTTCTGTGCTATTATAAACACCACCATATTTGTTCAGCTTTATAAGTCTGTTTTCATCCCTTTTTTCAACTTGTTCAATAAAGTGTTCTATGAAGATTAGAGAAACTGAAAAGCTCATAGTCAAAATATCCCGGGTACCTTAGTTTAGAGACTTTTATGATCACATTACAGATGTGCCTACTACAGTACTCGATTTTGCTTTTCTTTTTTGGGGGCCATATGGTTGCCCAAGTATCACTGTAAAATTGAACCATCATGACTTGGACCTCAGTAGAAGACATGGTTTGTTTAGTGAGCTGGGCCCAGCCTTGTAAGGGCTGTTTATCTATTTCTTTGTGAACATCTCTGAAGACAGGTAAACAAATAAACTATGTTAGCAGACTCAGGGGACTGCTTCGAATAAATCATCAAGGTCAGCAACGAAACTATGACAATTGTGACAAGGTGACTGAGGAAAAGCAGTTTGAAACCTGTAAAAAGCTAAAAACTCTTGGCCCTATTATCAGAGAAAATCCAATAAAAAGCCACAAGATTATGATACAAAATGAAGCTTAAACATTTCAAAAGAAAAAAAAATCCCTGTGAATTTTTCATATGAATTTTTCCTATTTTTCTTTTACTGAGTCATTCAATTACCACATTTCATCAAATTTAAAATCTATAAAATGAAAAGAATATCCTGAATTTAAAAGCTGTTAAAAGTTAGGGACTGAGTATGCAGCTAAGTGATAAAGCACTTGTCTAGCACTTAGCAAGGCCTTAAATTCAATCCTCAGCACTGAAGAAGAAAAAAAAGGAAAAAATGTTAAAAGGTGAAAAAAATAAAACCAGGTATGGCAGCACATGCCTACAATTCTAGCATTCTCAAAATTTAGGTAGGAGGATCACAAGTTCAAGGCCAGCTTGGGTTACATAGTAAGATCCTGTCTCAAAAAAAGTGAAAAATATTTGTCTGTAAATTCATGCAATTGTGATAATTATTTGAGGGGAGGGGCTAGAAACCAAAGAGAATACATGAGAAAAAAGTTAACTGGCACATTAATAAGACACTATTTTGAAAGTAACTATTCTAAACATGTTTGTTATGAGTTTAGATTACCCTGGAACATAGAGGGAAAAAAATCAAGTGATCTGAAATACTCTTAAAGACTTACTTTCTAGAATACAATAAGGCTTTAAAAAAGGAAAAGGGACAGATATAAATTATACACAGGACATGACAATCTACTCTTAAAAATCTATGGGTTATTTTCAACATGTTGGTTAGCTTCTTTTTGGTTGCATAAACAATCTTTTATGTTCACTATGATGTTACAATTAATGTTATGATTAAGTCATGCACTGCATTTCCAGTTAAGCCCAACATGGTTTAACTTAAATTATGCTAAATCTAAAGAGGCACCTACATGGAAAAAACTTCACGCCAACAGTGTTTGTTCAGAAGTCTTCTGAACTGCACGCATATAAAATATAAAGCCAAAATTTCTAGAATACTTCCATCAATAGGAACACCTTAGCTTGCGTCTGTACACCAGGGTGGCTGTATCTCCTGGGTGATCTAGGATACTTCCAATTTACAGTCACTGTCCAATGACAAAGTGTGCCCCCATTACTCTTATAAACATTCAGTTTTGCAAAATAACTATTATGCTGCTCTCTAATTCTGGTAACGGGATAGCTCAAACCTGAAAAATAACCTACTACTCAGATGGAACAATATGGGTCACTTCACGTTCTCAGAAGGGTCAGTTCTGACGTGAGTACTGAGAGACAGGCTCACGTGGGAAAGCCACTGCCTGTGGGAATAAAAGGTGAGAGCCAGGCCACACTTACTCACTCTGACCCAAGGGTGTTACTTTACGGATCTAAGGTGGGAAACAGCAGTACGAAAGGCGGCGTTTTTGTGAATAAAGGCTGTAATATGTGGACCTTACCTCTTGCCAATTCCAGCTGCCTGCTCCTCAATGAACACGATTTGGGACAAAGGAATGGCCACACAGCATTCCTAGGAGAAAACCGGTAGAAGGCAAGATCCTTAACACTCGCAGGACTCCTTTTACAGTGTAAGTGTGCACTATACCTGTAAGGGACTTAATCATCAAAACATTTAAAAATAACAATGTTGTTTTAGTCTTTAAATAAACTTAGGGAAGAATTAAATACTGTGGTGGGTTTTGCTATGTCCAAAAATATAAGACGCTTAAAAGCAGCTGTAGGGGCTGGGGATTTAGCTCAGTGGCACAGCGCCTGCCTGGCAAGCGCAAGGTCATGAGTTCAATTCCTGGTACAGGGGTGAGGGTCGGGGGAGTGGAGGGGGTGGGCAGCTCTAACAACCTTTTTTTGTATAGTGGATGCATTTTTTTCTTTCTACATTTTCTTTTATTAGTACATTTTGGTTATGCAGATTAACGGGTTTCATTTTGGAAGACCTGTATGTACACACAGCAAACGTTAATCACTCCCTATCTCTCCCTCTTGCTCTACCCTCCCTCCTAGTTTCAGACTTTTCAAGGGGTGGATTTCAATGCATATAATGTATTTTGATCATATTCATATCCTAATGGGTACATTTTCTAAAAGTAACACAAATAAAAATTTCTCACATGTAATATTTTCTTACATGGAAAAGAAAAAACAGATAAAAAGTTTTAAAGAGTACACTACAAGAATGATTTTTTCTTCTGCTTTGTAATTTCTCATACTTCTCCCACAAGTATATACACACAGTTTATTTTTAATAGAAAATACTGATAGAGCCGGGTATGGTGGTGCACGCCTGTAATCTCAGAACTTGGGAGGCTGAGGCAGAAGGATCACTGAGAGTTCGAGACCAGCCTAGGCTACAAAGTAAGCTCAAGGCCAGCCTAAACTGCATAGTGAGACAAAAGAAAATACTGATGGAGCCTCCCTTATCAGTACATATGATTATAAAAATTATTATACAAGGCCAGGTGTGGTGATGAATGCCCCAGCTACTCAGGAGGCTGAGGTAAAAAGATTGCTTGAGCCCACAAGTTTGAGATCAGCTTGAGCAACATAAACTTTGTCTCAATAAATAAATAAGTAAACAAACATAAGACTGGTACATAATAGATCTAGGAATTCATTCAAATTTGCCCCTTCACATAATAAACATTATTCTAAGATCCATTTATCAACATATGGTCAAAGGATTCCCTGTTTTTCTACAAATAATTTCTACGCTAAGTGTGTATTTACTCACAAAGAATTAGAGAAAATTAACAGGATATGAAATGTAATATTGATGGGAGGATTATAGTCCTTAAGGGAACAAAAATTGGTTCCTAAAAGGCAAAACAATGAGACAGTGCAATGGTTAGTGGTCTTTCAAAAGGACACAGTATGGCATATTGTTTATAAATGGCATTAAAATTTCACAAATGCTGTGGGTATAGCTCAGTGGCCGAGTATATGCTTGGCATTTGTAAGGCCCTAGGTTTGAACCCCAACGCTGGAAAAAAAAATCACACCGGGGGCGCACTCAGGAAAATGAAAACAGTTGTTATAGCTCACCTTACTGACACTTTCAGGTAAAGGGTGAATACTTCCAAGTTAAAGCCCCTTGGAATGAAGATGGCAGCTCTATATATACAGTTTGCTTTCCACCCCTAGAAATTATAAAAATAGGGGCAGCAGCTTCCCTCCTTCAGTGACTTGGAGGCAACTTTTCTCGGTGTTTCGATGAAAGCATACAACAGACTCCCCTCAACAACTGTCAGGGAGAATGGGTTACGGGAAGGACATCTGAGTCCCTCCAACAGAGGCAGGACAGTGCCCCCAAACATAGGGATGAGTAGGTCCTGACTGGTGCTCAAAAATAAGGAGTCGCCAGGGTTCTCCATCCAGGAACTACAGGCTTCTCTAGAGCCAAATGAGGGAAAATACTCTTTGGACTCCATTTAAAGAGATAACACGAGACACACTTCTGACATTCAGAAAGGGAAAGTACGTTGTATCAATTTATAGTTTTTCCGAAACAGGAGGACATCCAATTTGAAACCCACAGCAAATGGCCGGAGGTGTAGCTCAGTGGTACAGCACTCGCCCAGCATGTACAAGGCCCTGGGTTCCAACCCCAGCACCACCAAAAAATAAACAAATACATAAAACGTGGAACAGATGTCAAAAATCTGTATCTTACATGATTTTTCTGATCTCTCCAAATCAGTCGGTGTGTACTAAGGAGGAGGGTCCCAGCATCAAATTTTATCTAAAAAGGTAAGAACATCACAAAACATTGTCACTCCCTGCTGTCCACATTTTCTTTCTCATTAATCATAAAATATAAAGTTAAATCATAAACGTTTTCAAATTAGGTACATCACAAATTAAAAAGAATTAGTGATACTCTACACCACAAATGCATACTCTATAAATATAAGCTATATCGATAGAGCCATGATAGAATTAGGGAAAAATTGTAAACAATCTAGTTTTTATCTGTATAATGGGACTCACACAAAGGTTAAAAAACTGATGAGGTAGAACTATTACACATTAACAAGGAATCAAACAGTTGGTGAACAAAAGCAATTTATTGTGTATTATTACAATGTAATCCCCAAACAGCATGTCTATAATATAGCCACATCCATATGCAAGTAATAGACAAAAGCCTAACACAGAGGTATGTTAATGAGGGGAATGATATGATGTGGTTGATAAACTTTAGTGACAAGAAACCTACTGAACCATCTAGCTTAAATACACTCTATAAAAGATATTTTCTACTGCAACACTGTGCTTTTTTTTTGTTTTTTCCTTTTTTTTGGTACCAGGAGTTGAACTCAGGAGCTTCTGCTTGCAGGCAGACACTTCGCCACTGAGCTATATCCCCAGCCAACACTTTGATATAGCAGAGGAGAGAAGTTACAGGTCCATGTTTTCTTCCGAATCATTTTTTTTAAAAAACAAACAAAAAAACAAGTATTCCTGGTACTTATTCAGCCTGATTTCAATTGAGTCTAAGGTATTTTAAAATTACATTTTTGCAAATCAGTAAGATTTTGTCCTATTCCAAAAGCAAAGGTTAATAATTGTATCAGTAAGATGTTGTCCTATTCCAAAAGCAAAGGTTAATAATTGTATCAACTTGAGAGTGCATTACACTGCAGAACACAATAGCTCTGATTAGCAAACTTCACATTTCATTTTTCTGAAATCCAACCACAAGAATATGAATTTAAAGCTCAAGTCAGAGTACGTTCCATTGCTATGCCAGTTAACGATAAGCAAACATAAAATATTGCTGCTTTCAGTGAAGAAACTGTGTCAGAGTTCCCTTCAGGGGTTCCAATGTGTTATGATTTGTGTCTAGATGTCCCCCCAAAGCCTCACTCAGTCCTAGGGCTTTTTCTGAAGTGGCTGAATCTAGAGGGTGGGATGCTGGGGTTAAGGGTGTTAGTGCTACATGCACCCTAGGGCAGGTACCCTACACACACACAAGAGACAGAAAGAGTCTTGTTCCCACCCCCACTTGTTGCTTTTGCTATCTTGTGGGCGCAATGAACTGTTCTCTGCGATGCTCCTCTGCCAGGCCGCCCTGCTTTGCAGCCAGCTGACTATGGACTGTAACCTCCACCAACTGTGAGCTAAATAAACTTTTCCTCCTTTAACTTTGGGTGTTGGGTAGTTTGTCTCAGCAATGAGAGAAAAGTAACTAAGACACAGTTGATTATGATCTAAACTTGATGGACAAGTTTAGGCTGGTTTGTTGGTATCACTCAAAGCCAGAGTAACTTTAACTACTTGAAAGTTAATCAAACTTAGGCACCTGCTGAGTAGGTCTTACTCCCTTTTCAGGTTTTTTTTCCTTATATTTTTATGTCATAAAAGCAATACATGCTCATTGTTGAAAAAGCTAGAAAAAATTTGAAGTCTAAAATAAAAAATGAAATCACTGATAATTATACCAGCCAAAGGTTATACATAAATGTATGTATAACCTTTAATAATGAAACTGCACTTACAGTTTGACGATTTTTTATTTAGTTAGTACTCCATGGTTAACAATTCCTCTTGCTAATTCAGGCCATAATTCAACTAATTAACTAATTTCATTAGTAGACATTCAGATTGCTTCCAGTTTTCTCCCATATATAATAATATATACATAATCTGAGATAAGTATCCTCAAATATTTTTGGGCACCCCTCATCATTTCCCAGGGATAAATTCCTAAGAAGTGCAATAGCTGAAAGGGAATAAACACTTTATAAATCCAGTATGTACTGCCAGCTTTCCACGTTACACATTACTAATCTTCTCAATCATTTAGTAAATTAGCTCAGGCTATAGAAGTGTCTGTGAATTGAAACAAATGACCTGTCTATATTGCTTATGAAAACAACGCATTACCCAGTCATAATGGGCCCATGAAAACTGCCTGTACCAGCGATTGGGCACATTCCCTCACAAAAGGCCCTTGGGCGCTGGGAAGAACACAGTCCACTGGATCTGGTTGGAAATGCTCCTTCCACCAATTACCCGCTGTGCGGCCTTGGGTGGCTCACAATTTTCTCCACCATTATGCAGGGGCTGCAGTTTCACCTGTGGAAGGGTCAGCTAAAGGAACATTTCAGACAGCTTCTGGCACGGGGGACTGCTATTCTCTGAGGTGCGTCCGGGCCCCGAAGAAAACACAGGCTGGGAGTCTCAGCCATGAAGATCTAAATCTTGTCCCCCCAATTCTCAGGCACTGTATCTGAGTGCCATTTTCTCATTCACTAAGATACACTGATCTGTTGAGAGGGGCAAATAAGCTCACGAACACTGTATATAAAGCTCCTCCTATGGAGTATTTAATCATTCTGATTTTTTTTTAATGTTTCACACCTACTGTGAGCCTGAGGACTAAGGCACTTTCTGTCTCCGGGAGCCTCCAAGTGGCCCACGCGGGCGCCGTGGGTGGGCACACCTGCTCCTGTGCTGCCACGCGCCGTTGTGAGAGCTGAACGGCCTTGCCGCAGTCTACAGGTCGAGGGCCGGGAAGGACGGACAGGGAGGCGAACTCCACCACGTCTGGAGGCCGACCTGCCGCTCCATGGCGTCTTTAGCAGGGCTGAACCCTCTGGCAGACGGCGGAAGCAAGGTCACAACTCTTTCCCACGGGAATCAGTCTGGTCATCAGTCACAGCAGGGACTCAGGAAGTGGCAGGTGTGACTAGCACCAGGCACTTGGGTGAAGGGTCTATCTGAGCGCTCCAGCTTAGTTTTGAGATACCTACAGCCCTGCACCAAGGCTCCCAGCTTCTGGAAGAGCTACCTCTGATACTCACATACTTGTCTGCTAAAATAAACGGCGAAGATTTTAACGGAGAGATTAGAATTTGCTCGTTCAACGGATTTTCACTCGCAGGTAGTAAGAATTGTGATTTTACATTGTTTACCCCATGATTTTACACTGTTTACCCCAGAGCCACGCTGTCTGCTGGCATTGCTGTGCCTGATTTGTGACTCTCAGACAACTCGACTTCCAGACCTCCCTCAAGGGAGGGGACCGGAGCAGTCTGAGGATCTAAGTCCTCACCAGCCTTTACTTCCTATTAGAATGGGAGCAGAGTCAAACCCAATGAGAGTGGGAGGGTGTTAAAACTGCCATCTAAAATAGTTCCAATGAGGTTAATTCGGTTAGAAAAAAATAAACAAAGTTGGGCTGTCACGCCAATCAAAAGACCTAATCTGAATAGGCCCGGTGTGGTGGCTCATGCCTGTAATCCCAGCACTCAGGAGGCTGAGGCAGGAAGATCGCTGCGAGTTCCAGTCCAGTTTGGGCTACAAAGTGAGCTCAAGGCCAGCCTGAACTGCATAGTGAGGCCCTGTCTCAAAAAGACAAAAGAAAGAGACCTAATTTGAGATCACACTAATAACTGCTAAGGCAGTAAATGAAGTCCCAGCAAATTACCTAAGGAAAGGACCCTGATTCAATAATAAAGGCAACAGAAGCCATGGAGTCAGGGGGCCTGGGTTCCCCATCACCTGTGACTCTAGACAGCTTTGAGCACCGACCAGAAAAAGCTCTGGGGCAAGAAAAGTCCAGCCAAGTCCAGAGGGGCACGGACAGAGCAAGGCAAACTGGCCGCTAAAGATGCTTGTGGATAAACGTGCTCACTTTTTTTTTTTCCTAATTCCAATTTACACACTTCATCCGGGACAGGACATTTTGGAGTTTCATCCAAGTACCCACAAAATATTTACTTACATTCCACATTCTAGTCTCAACTTGCAAACCCACTTCCTACGATCAGTGCTTGCATTGTAGAGCAAGCCTGACATCACTTTACGGAG